CCAACTAAGAAAAGCCCAGGACTGGATGGGTATACAGCAGAGTTTTACAAAACCTTTAAAGAGGAACTAACACCAATACTTTTCAAGCTATTTCAGGAAATAGAAAAAGAGGGAGAACTTCCAAATTCATTCTATAGTTTATAATTAATAAAAAAAAAAGTAAATCAATTTGATATTTGATAAAGCTATATGAATTGATATTTGATAAAGCTGTATGGTAGACACCTAATTTATTCTCTAGTCAACTTCAGGATATTTGAAATCTCCATATAAGAAACTATTATAAGTAGATAAATGGAGAAAAAGAAGGCAGAGGGAAACACAAAAAAATGTTATTCTGGTGAGATGGAAATTTAAGATTCCCTTTAAAAACATATGTAAACTGGGTGTGGTGGTGCATGCCTGTAATCCCAGGGGCTCAAGAGGCCGAAGCAGGATTCCAAGTTCAAACTCAGCAAGATCCTGTCTCAAAAACAAAATAATGGAAGACAAAACGAAACATATATAGCACACAGTGCTATATAAGGCAAGTTCTCTACCACTGAGTTATATTCCAGCATCAATTCATTTAATGTTGAGATATTGTTTAGACAATATAAAATTTAAAATCTGCTGTTTTAGGACAACTAGCAGAAAATGGGTATATATCCTAGATGTCTCAGCTACAACCAATAAATGTGTGGAGGAAATAAATGAAGTGGGCCACTCCTTTGTTCTTGAAATAAACCACATAAGTCTTTTTTTCTTAGAAGATTAAGTATGATAAAACAATAACATTTATGGTATTTAATTCTAAGAACTTTAAATTCATTACCTCTTTGCCTTTTGTTAAAATATTTTTAGAAAATTGTGGGTTTTTAAAATTTTATTTTAGATCACAAAAAATGAAGCAGGAAGAAGTTATATAATTTGTCCATGGTCAGACAAGCAGTTGCTAGTCACTAGTATAGCTAGGCCTCAAACTTAGGTACTCCAACTACAGAATACTTATCCTTAACTACTTACTATATAAACTTTTGCTATTAAAGAGTTGGCTCTATGAGGCAAACAAGATGAACCCGGTCTTCGAATTTAAGTTCATTTATCCCTGGGCCTAGGAGCCACAAGGTAATATGGCTCATTTACCAAGACTGTCAATTTAATTTGAGGATTTGGGACAATCACTTTGGCAAAATATTTAGAATAACACTGACTTTTCTCAAGGCTGTTTAAATCTCATCCCCTTTTCTGAAATCTGATAAGCAAYAATATGTAAGCATGATCTGTAATCTGTTAAAAGTGATATTCAAAAACAAAACTATCAATTCAATTTGGCTTAAGAAAACTCACCTTTTTACTTCTGGATAGTCTAAATCTTGTAATAGTGCCAAACTGGGAGAAATATGCTTTGATTTGGGTTTCATAAAGTGCTGGAGGCAGATGGCCCACAAAAATTACTCCAGGAATAAGTTTTTCTTCCTTTTTTTGCTGAAGACAAAAAGACCAGATAAAAAAACATTTTAAAAACATGAACATTGCAACAAAGCTTTCAAAACTCTAGTGCTCTGCTGAAGAACCTACCCTATATTTTTACTTGTCATAGCAATAATTTAAAGAATTAGTTGTTTGTTGTCTATATCCCCACAAGGACAATTGCCACTGTTTTCTCAGGCCTGAATTCCCAGCACCAGCATCAAGTACATGCTTTGGAGGTTAGGCTGAGTGGATAGACAAGCAAGTAAATATCTGATTACATCACTTTAGATCTTCCACCCAAAGAATTCCATAGAGTGCGTCCTTCAACTTTCGACGCAAATCACTGTTTATTCCTATCTAATGGAACATTTTTCCAGAAGCTTGTTAACCTTCACATGTAGACTAACCTCTGAGTGTCTCTGTGATCACTTTCTTATCTTCAGTAAGAATATATATATTTCACAATATATATTGTGCTTTGATTTGAGGATTTGGGACAATCACAATTTGGGACAACCAAGGAAAATATAAACTTGATGTCAAGGGCTCCAATCAGCAAAGGGAACTTGGTAAATAATATCTTAACTCCCAAACTACCGGGCATGTAATTTTGGGCGGTAAAGCAGAAGCCTGACATCCCCTAACATGGTATTAATCTGTGGGAACCCCTCTGCTGGTTCCCTTCTTCTCCTGCGTGCACCCCATGCCTCCCGCTAGTCTCCACAGGAACATCCTAAAATTTAGCGACCAAACCCCACAGTATTTCTCCATCAGAGTAAACCTCCTCGTCTCGTGCACCCTGGCCTCTAAACTCATAAGGTCGGTCCCCCATTCGGTCGGGAGCTCACTGTGGAAGGCCCTGGAGGTAGCAGAAGCCCAGGGAAGGCAGGCCGCGTCCGGGCCGCGAACCGCGCGATCCGGAAAGCTCCCGGCAAGACTCACCGCCTTCCCTCGCAGCCCGGACCGTGCGTCCGCTCACCTGGGTTACGCGCTGGCGGAAGTGCTGCACCTCCTTCTGAAACTGGACGTCTTCCTGCGGGTTCAGAGAAAGAATCGGCCCGGGTGGGACGACGAACGGAGACCCCACCATGTTGAGACCCGCAGCAACACAACTCCACGCGGCGCGCTCCCGGAAATGCGGGCCCTCGACTCCTCGGAAGCGGAAGTAGAAGCGGGAGAGGGGCGTGGCAAGACCCGAGGGCGTGGCACAAAGGATAGCGCCGCTTGGCGCTCCCTGCTGGCCGGGCACGTTTTCTTCTCCTCGTACCTTTCACCTGTCAACTTGGAACGTCCAGAACAGTCAAGTTTCAAAACCGTTTTCTTTTTCTGCTTTTCATACTGGGGTTTGAACCCAGCGGCGCTTTATCTCTGAGCTACATCCACAGTCCTTTATATATATATATATATATATATTTTATTTTGAACAGGGTCTCACTAAATTGCTCACTTTTTAGCTCACATTGACTCCTAACTTGAGTAGGTCTAGAAATAAGCATATTGGCTATTAACTGGGTTTAAAGGCGTGCACCATGGTGCCCGGTTTCAAAAAGAATTTTTAAAAAATAACTACAAAACTATATCTGTGCCCTTCAGATCTTGTAAAATATTCTTCCATTAGTTTGCTCTTTCCTTTTTTCAGTCATGTGACTGAAACAGGGTCTCACTATACCTTCCAGGCTGGGCTCAAACTCCTGGGTTTAAGTGATGCTCCTGCTTGGCCTCTCGAGTTAACTGGTACTACAGACAGATGAGCACCCCCTGCCCAGCTTAGAGGTTTTTTTTTTTAAATCTCCTTTTTTGTTGTTTTGTAAACAAATTAATATTACCATTACAGTCAATTCAGCTCCGTAGAAGTGAACTTTTGAGTTTCAAATGGAAGAAGTTAAGAAAACAAGGAGCATACTATTTGAGTTAAGGCCACTTCAAAAACAGCAGGTGCAAGAGATGAAACTCTTTGTCCTTGCTATACCAAAAGGAAAGTACCATTCTTATCATCAAGGACAAGAAGTTGAGGCAGAGGGAAATCTGTAAAACCAACCTTTTTTAGACTAATCCTGATTCTCCCATCCATTTTACCCAATTAATTGTCCCAGCTCAATTATCTATGCTTTTCCTATCTTCATAATTTACTACTCATTATCTAAGCTGGCATATATTTATATCTCTGTATCTTTGATTCTTCATGTCCTTATGAAGACTCCTGTACCACATAAAACTTGAATTAAATAAATTTATATTCTTTTTCCCTGTTGATTTTTCTTATGTAGATTTAATTCTCTTACCCAGCTGAAAAAAAATCTCTTAAGAGAGCAAATGTAAAATTCTGCCTTCCCTACAAAATGTTCTTTATGGCAAGGTTACTCATATAAAATTCCAGATACTGTTCTGGAAAGAGCATCAACTGGAGGACTACCCTTATGCTGTCTAGAAATTCAAGGAAAGAAAACATATGACTCAGAAAATTAACTTCTAAATAAACCATACCTACAAAATATAATCTTAAGAATTACAATTTTGCTGAGCTTCTGTTTGAGCAATTATATACACATTTAACTTCAGCAGTGCAACTAAAAAGGAGAAAATTCAAAATTACTCTACAAGAAAGAACAAAAAATGCTGTTTTTGGATCAACAGAAAAGTCTTCCTAACTAGCAATAAAAATTTACTGATTTCACTATGTAAAAACCAAACAAGATAGAAACAATTTATAATATTAACATTTCTATAGATGTAAATTTAAAAAACACTATCCTAGAAATTATCATCTTATGACATTTCCATTTGAACTGTTGTATAATCACTTAAAGCAGTAAAAACAAATGAGAAAAATTATTTTAGGACATAAAAAATGATTGCCATATTTCTGGATTACTTTAGTGAATTTGTTTTTATTTTTAAAGAGAGAGAGGGAAAGAGAGAGAATTTTAATATTTATTTTTTAGTTCTCGGCGGACACAATATCTTTGTTTGTATGTGGTGCTGAGGATCGAACCTGGGCCGCACGCATGCCAGGCGAGAGAGCTACCGCTTGAGCCACATCCCCAGCCCATAGTGAATTTGTTAACAACTTCAAAAATACTATAATTAAGTCTGGTGTGGAGTTGTGCCCCTTGTAATCCCAACTCCTTGGGAGACTAAAGAAGGAAAATTTCAAGTTCAAGGTCAAGCCTGCATTTAAGGAGTCTCTATCTCAAAACAAAACAAAACAGCTAGGGATGTAACTCATTAATAGAGGGCTGCCTAAAACATATGAGGCCCTGGGTCCAATCCACAGTACCACTAACAAATAAACAAAACCCTATAATTACACGATCTACAGATGAAATGGAAGCAGTGAACTGTGAGATTCATATATGTTCTATAGTTGTAAAACATCTTACAAATTGTAATTTTGTCACACATCCATGTGAGCCATTGTGTTATCACGTTAACAGCACCAAAAGGAAGGAGAAAAGTCTTTTTAATAGAGAAGAAATTATCTTCCTGAGGTTCTAGAGCTTCAGAAATGGTTTCATTACAAGCTAGAATAAACATGGAAGGTGAACTGCATCTGTCACCTGGTTGTGTGGACAGAGGCTGGAACTTCTTGCCACTGGAGGGGGCAATGGACCAGTAAAGACTCACAGTGATTATTCCTGGGGAGGTTCTGCCTCACTTTCTAGAAGTGGGGGAAGGTTTTCAAGAACTGTCTCCTGGAATATCTTGGTAATACCTGACCTCTAACAGAATGCTGTGGAGGACCCAATCTTAGGCATGTGGCATTCATTTGTGTGGGGAGGGGTTAATAAAGAGGTCTCCTGTGTTGTGTAGTGTGGAAAAGACTGCTCTGTCTTGCTCTTGTGGAGGTCCTGCTGTGATCCTAACCTTGGGTTGGTGGTATCTGGTCCAAATGGGGCACTGTTACCTGGATCCTGGGGTCATCACAGCCTCTACATCCTTCTTCAGGGACTTGATCATCCAGGAGATTCTCTGAGCAACATCTGAGATATGATGATACTACTCTCCTTCTCCCACCCTGGCCCCATACTGGGGATTGGGCCCAGAGGCATTTATCACTAAGCCCTCTTAATTGTTCAGTTATTTTGAGATAGCATCTTGCTAAATTGTTTAGGCTGACTTTAAACTTGTAATCTTCCTGCTTCATCCCTTCGAGTTGCTGGAATTACAGATATAAGTTGACTTGAGGATACTTTTTGAAATATTTGTATTCTTCCTCAATATTTTTTGGTCTGACATAGCATTTTCTTTTCTTATCAAGGTCTCTTTCAGCCAATGCATTCCATCAACATGATGTCATAAGCTTTTCTCTCATGGGACATAAGCCAGCTTTGATAATAGTGGTGCACCCCAATTTTTCTTGAGAAATTTTGTCTTGTCTTTTGTCTGGATCTTTACATACATGGCTCGCTCATCTTTTCATCTGCTCTGCAAAGATTCTTTTCTTTCCATGGGAAGTTTTCTCTAAATGGGTATTTGGTGAAATTTTCTTCTTCTTGATGAGGTTTGGGAAGATCCTGCTGGAGTTCTCTCTTCCTGTCACTTTTCTGACGGAAGCAGGGATTTCTAAGTTTGGAGACTTAACCACGATCTTCAAGTACATTCTATTCCCTAAACATGTTATGAACCTTGCCACGGCATCCAAACACTTCCTGAGTACTAGTCACTGATAGTAGTGCTGGCATAGAAAGAAGAGAATACAATTCATCAAATCTTCCAGGTGCTGCTTTCCTGAGAAGGATGGGTGCTCAGTTAGCAAAGCTGCCTATTAGGTAAAGGGAGCCCAGGAGATGGCAGATTAACTCCTGGGAAGTCAGTAACTCTTCCTAAATTGCCACCTTGCATGTTCAATCACTTTGAATAGAGGGCTACGGTTTGGTCAGTTCCCTTTGATTTCATCATTGCCCTGCTTAAATGCCTATGGCTGCCCTGCCTAGAACAGAACCTGGTTTTCAGAATTCTTGACATGTGTCAATTTCTGTCATACAAATTCTCCATGGAGAATTCTGCTTCTGGAAAGGTGGAGTAGATAAACTTTCCCTTATTCCTTCCTTTAAGTGCAACTAAAATCCCTGGGCATTATATATAAATTAAACATAATGAGACCCTGAAAAGTAGAGAAGAAGGCAGAAAGCTAGGGGCCTCAGGGCCTACGAAATGACACAGTGGCAAGTTCCACTGTTTATTTATTTACTTTTTTTCTTATATATCTCAGATTTGGTGCTGAAGAAGCCGGTCACCAAGAAATGCCAAAAATCTGTTCTCTTTGGCCGAAGGATCAAGAAGGGGGCAGCTATAAAGAAATAAAGCTAATTTAAAAGTTAGTTATTTTTATAGTGCTGGACAAGTGCTCTATCATTGTGTTACATCTCCAGCCCTGTATTTTACCTTCTGCTCTTTCTCTGTTTTTTTTTTTTTTTTTTTTGGTGGTGGAGGTGGGTGGGTGGGTGAGTTGGTGCTGGGGATCTAACCCAGGACTCCAATGCATGTCAGGCAAGGACTCTTCACTAAGCTACATCCCCTGCCTGACAGAAAACTTTTATGATACTGCCTCTATTCTAGCCAAACACCACAGAAAAAAACTGATTTTTTTCTGAAAAACAATGCCTTTTTTTTCAGATAAAGCTGGGATGCTCTCCATCCCCCCAACCATGTGCAGACAAAGTCTGAGTGGGGAGCCTAGACTTCTTCCTTCAAGAAGCTCGATGATGTGCTCTAACATCCCTGTCATCATGGTGTCAGAGAAGACCCTGAAGGAAGTTGGGACCTTCATCCCATCAGTTGATGATATCACCTACTAGTAACAGTGTCAGTGGAGACCATGTGTGAGACTGGACATCCATCCCTACCCAGAAATAATGAGGAGACCCTGCCCTGGGTGCCAATGGAGGCCAATGGGAGGGGAGATTGGTCTTATTCCCCCAACTGGCAGCAAAAAGCAGTGTTCTCCATTCCTTGCTGGAGCAGTGTCAGAAAAAGCCCTTTAAAACATATTTAAATAAGATCCAGAGTCTTATAGCATGATACAAAAATGTTCAGGTTTCGACTGGGGTGTAGCTCAGTGGTATGGTATTTGCTTAGTATGTGCAAGGCCCTGGGTTCCATCCCCAGCACCCCAACAACGGTGAAAAAAGTTCAGATTTCAGTAGAAAGTCTCTTGCCATACCAAGAACCAGGAAGAGCTCAAATTGAACAAGAAAACATAATGAATAGATTCTGCTAGTCTGAACACTTGTGTTCACTGCCTCAAATTAGTATGTTAAAAACCATAATCCCGAAGATGGTGGTATGAGGAGGGACCTTTGTGACGTGATAAGATCACAAGATCAGAGCTCTCAGGAATCTGATGAGTGACTTTTAAAAGAGGCCCAAAAGCTCTCTACCTCCTTCCACTATATAAGGACACAGTGAAAAGATGGTCATTCGTGAACCAGGCAACCGCCCTCAGCAGACACTGAATCTGCTGGTCCCTGAATCTTAGACTTTCCAGCCTCCAGAAGTGTCAGAAGTAAATTTTCATTGTTTATAAAACACTGTTTTTTTTGTACTAGTTATTGAACTCAGGGGTGTTCTACCACTAAGTATACTCCAAGCACTTTTTATTTTTTGAGATTGGGTCTCACCAAAGTACTGAGACTAGCCTCAAATTGTGATACTCCTGTCTCAGATTCTGAGTAACTGGGATCACAGGCATGTGCCATAGCCCTAGTCAAGCCATTCAGTATTTGATACTCTATTATAAAAGCCCAAAAGGACTAATATGATTATAATACCAAGGTGACATAGATGTTAGAATTATATGACAAAGATTTTAAAGCAACTATGATAAAAATTCTTCAATGAGCAAATAAGAACATACTTGAAATGAATGAAAAAAGTCTCAACAAAGAAACAGAAAGTTCGGGCAGTAATATAGAAGATAGAGTAAAATGGAAGATAGGTGTGGTGATATGCATACTTGTAATCCTAGCTACTTATAGGCTGAAGCAGGAGGATGGCAAGTTTGAGGCCAGCCTTGGCAATTTAGCAAGACACTGTCTCAAAGTAAAAAATGAAAAGGGCCTGGGAATATAGCTCAGTGGCAGAGTGCCTCTTGTTCAAGCCCCAGTTTTGGAAAAAAAAAAAGAAAGAAATAAAATGGAAATTTTAGAACTAAAAAATAATTCCAGCTACTCAGGAAGCTGAGGCAGGAGGACCACAAATAAGAGGCCACCCTGGGCAAGAAATTTAGTGAGATCCTATCTCAAACACACACACACACACACACACACACACACACACACACACACACACACTTACACACGTGCGTAACTATAACTCATTTAATATTAAATAATTTGAGTAGTACTATAAATGGAATTTGAAATAAAAGTTCCCCAAAAGAAATCTCCAATCCCAGTTTTCAATGGAGAAATTTACCAAATGTTTAAAGAAGAATTAATACTAATTCTGTATAATCTTTTTCAGAATATGAAGTAAGAAGAAACACTCTTTAGTTCATTTTATGAAGCTAGTGTTGAGGAGGAAAAACTTTTCCTCTCTTTTGTTCAATGTATAAGGACTAGCAAATTAAACTGATAAAAGATTAACAGAACAGAAAATCAGCAAGGGCACAGAAGAACTCAACACCACCATCAACTTATAGTTCCGAATAAGTCTTTTTATAGAAAACTCCCCCAATCCTAGCATGCATGAGGCCCTGGGTTCAATCCCCACTACTGAAAGTAAACAAACAAAAAGCAAATCATCAACAACAAACTCCTCCCAAAGACTTATTTTTATATACGCTGATGCTAACAAAAGGAGGAGCTAGTTACTAACTGGTTGAAGTTAGAGGCTTAGTAGATATAAGTTGGGAAAAGAGAATACGGGGGAAGGTTTCTATAAGAACAAGAAGTAGGTTTTTTTTTTTTTAATTGAGGTTTTGGGAGAAGAATTTGTGATAACCACTTAAGACTTCTTTACACCATGATATTCCCCTGAAGAAGGAAATTATGGCAGCTTCAATTCCATGAGGTTGCTTCTTTTAGGATGATAAAGGAAGCTCCCAGAAGGATTTTTTTACATCTTTTGAATTTGCAATGTCTGCAGCTTAAAATAATCTTCAAACCAATTCTATGGCTCAAAGTGGGCTCCCTACACTAGCATTACCTGATGTCCAAACCAGACAAGAAAAGTATGAAAAATACACTTACACCATTCTTAAAATGGAACAAAGAACGAAACATAAGACCAATCACTATAAAACATTTAGAAGAAAACGGGAAAAGCTTCATGACATTGTATTCAGTAATGATTTCTTATATATGACATCAAAAGCACAAGCAACAAAGGGAAAAGTCAGTCAACTGGACTTCATCAAAATTATGAAGCTTTATGCATGAAGGGACACTATCAACAGGAGGAAAAGGCAAATGCTAGATACATCTGATAAGGGACTAACATCTATAATATGCAAACTATTCCTAAAACTCAGCAAAAACAAACAACTCAATTAAAAAATAGACAAAGGACCAGGTGCTTTAGCGCACATCTGTAGTCTCTTGTTACTCCCTACTGAAGTAGGAGGATCATGACTCTGAGGCCAGCCTCAGCAACATAGTGAGGCAAAGCTTGAATGGACTACATATTTATCTGAGGAAGATAAACAAACACATGAAAATGCTCAATATCCTAATCATTAGGAAAATGCAAATCAAAAATACCACTTCACATCCATTAAGATGGCTGATATAAGCATGTGTACATATACAATCACACAGAAAATAACAAGTGTTGAAGTATGTGAAGAAATTGGAAATGTAAAATGGTGGAAATGTAAAATGGTGCAGCTGCTGTGGAAAACATTTTGGTGATTCTTTACAAAATTAAACACAGAATTAACTTATGATCCAGCGATTTTACTTCTGGATATATACACATGAGAAATGAAAGCAAGGACTTCACAGATATTTGTACACTCATTTTTATAGCAGCATTATTCACAATCAAAAAGTGGAAGCAACTTGAGTGTCCACGGATGGATGGATCATAAACAAAATGTGGTATTATCCACATTTTGTTTATGATCCAAAAAAAGAAAAGAAAAGAAAAGAAAAAGAAAAAGACAAAGGAATTTCCTTCTGACATGGAAAGACATGGATGAACCCTGAAGGCATTATTTTAAGTGAAATAAACCAGGCAAAAAAGGACACATATTTCAAGACCATGCTCATTTTAAGTATCTAGAATAGTCAGATTCAGGGATAGAAAGTAGTGTTTGGCATATATCATTTAGAAATCTCATCAACTTTTATTTCTTTTACTTTTTTTTCCTTTTGAGATGGGGTCTTGTTATGTTGTCCAGGCTGGTCTCCAATCCCTGGACTCAAGTGATCCCTCTGCCTCAGCCTCCCCAGTAGTTGGGACTATAGGCCTATACCACCTTTGTCCTTCCTCCTAGTTTATAGAGAGAAGGATTAATTCTGAGTTGACTAAAAAAAAAAAAAAAAAAGAAAAGAAAAGAAAAGAAAAAGACAAGACTCTCAGGGGATGCTTAAAAAAAAACCTTCTTAGGAGTCTGATGCTCCCATGCTTTATGTACCTAATAAATTTTGTATGTATTTTTTTCCGTTTTTTWAAAATTTTAACTAATTTAGAATTTCAGGAGAGAAATGATTTGGAAGATTCTTATTCCTGCTAGAAATTTGAAAGTCATATTTTTTGAGTTGGCATGGAGAGGCACTCTGAATTTGTAATGAAAAATGTAATTTGGATTTCTATGAAGTCAGTTAATACACGAAGAATATGTTTGGCAGGTATTAAGTCTTAATATTAGTTCCTACTGCTTTCTTCATTGTATGTGCGAGGGGGAGGAAAATATTATAAGACTCTACTCTGGAGAATCTTGTACCACAAATGGCGCATGTCTGAGGTACACAGGCAAAACATTTTTAAAAATCCTGTCTCTGGGGAAACTGTGAAAATTGAGACTGTCTGCTTATGTAACAGGAGTGTGGGGATTAAATCAGATAAAGTTTGTTTTTGTCTTGGTGATTGAACACCTGGGCGCTTTGTGAGCTACTCCAGCCCCTTTTGTTTAATTTTGAGATAGGGTCTCACTAAATTGTTTACGGTCTCACTAAATTTGCTGAGATTGGCCTCCTGCCTCAGCCTCCTGAGTGGCTGGGATTACAGGCTTGGGCCACCCCACCAGGCTGGGATAAGATATTTTTAAAAACCGGCGACTATTACTGTGAAACAGTAGAGGCAATAATAGCATAGTGATTAAGATCAAGCGTGTGGTTCCCAGCTTCAACACTTAGGTACACTAGACTTCAGAGTCCATGAATTTGTAACCACAGTAACGTCATTTGTCAGGTATCTTCCCAGGACTATAATGAGTATTAAACATGATCTTTCACATAAAGACTTTAGAATAATGTCTGGTACAAAGCAAATAACCCATTATCATTTCTTTGATGAGAATTTTTCTAATTCATTTGGAGAATGCATCATACACACCCACACACCACACATTTATTTGTAGGGTAGATGCGCAGAAAAACTCTCAAGGGACAAACGACTCGATTGACAGTACTAGCCTCAGCAAAGGGATCCAGCGGAAGGAGGTGTTAGCGGACAAGAGAAACTTTCATCGCACACACTTAAAAAAAAAGCCATTTAATTTAAAAATAGGTAATTGAATCAAAGATCTCAGAATAAAAATGATGTACCGAGGAAATTTTCATTCCCATTCCATCCCCTACTCACTCCGTCCTTTTACTTTTCCGTGTATTTTTTTCAACGACGAACGCATTAGCGCCCTAGGTTCACACGAAGTCGGCCTTTCTCTACCTCCGTCTGCAGGTAGGACGCCTTCCCTTTGGCTGTGACGGATTCCACCCCCTCCCCGCCCCGCCCCGTCCGCTGTTGTAAATAAAACACACACACATGCACTAGCGGACAGCCCCAAGAGCCGGCACCACCTCCAAGCCGCCCCCGCCTCCCGCAGGCTCAGGTGCTCCCTAGGCCCCCTTCGCGGGCTGTTTCCGGCGATGCCTGTCTGAAGCGCCAGTCTGAAGCCCCGCCTATTCTCTCTTTCCCGGTCTTTGGAAGCACCCCTTAGCGCCGGGCATGTCGGGCGGCGCCTCAGGCAGCGCGGTGGACAGGCCGGCCTCCGGCGCGCCGCGGGCTTCGGAAGACCCCAGCGACGGCCGTGGCGTAGAGCCGGGTGGACGCGGCGGTAGCGGCGGGCGTAGCGGCGGGCGTTGCGACTGACTGCGCGGGTTGTCTGCAGGACTCGCTTCCCTGGCCGCCCTCGCCGTGCTGGCTGATTGTTGTGCGGCCGGCGCCATGTCTGTGAGCGAGATCTTCGTGGAGCTGCAGGGCTTTTTGGCTGCCGAGCAGGACATCCGAGAGGCGAGCCCCTCCCTCCCATCCCCTTTCCCTTTCCTTGCCTAGCTGGGCCACACAGCCCGGCCCTCCTGCGTCGCTCAGTCTCGGGCGGTGGGGACACCTCCGAGGGTGGGTTGCTTCCCCTTTAGTGTCAGGTTAGGGCACCTCCCTACCCCGGCCCTGGATTCCACTGCTCCCCTGATTCCGTGTTCCGGGTCTCCGCATCTCAGCATCACCTGCTTCATATGAGTGTCAGTTTTCCTCTTTTTCAGCATTTGTTTATGTCGAAGGCTTGGTTAGTGTCCGGGTCTCTGTCAACACGTTTTCTCTGTTGTTGGTGTCTTAAAAGCACATGTGACCCCCACCTTTTAAAATATCTTCTATGACTTCTCTTCCCACGTAGAATAAAAATGCGGACTCGACTCTAATCTACAAGGTCTCTCTCCAATCTCATTTTACAGTTTCTCTTTCTCTATTATGTTCAAGTAATCTCCTTTTTGTTCCTCTAGCGATAGAAATAGTTTCCTGCCTCAGGACTCTTGCATTTACTGTTTGCTTTTCTTGGAATTTGCTTCTTTCATCATATTCAGCTTTGACCTCGCATTCTAATTGGTTCTCCCTTATGTTTTTTAGTAGCACGTTAACTTTTTAAAAATTTGTGTGATAGGGCTGGGCTTGTGGCTCAGCGGTAGAGCACTCGCCTAGCATGTGCGAGGCCCTGGGTTCTATCCTCAGCACCACATAAAAAAATAAATAAAATAATGATTGTGTTCGACTACAACAAAAAAATAAATATTAAAAAATAAAAAAATTGTGTGATAATTGTTATTTTAAATGTCTGATTTTCCTTTTGTTTGCTAAACTGCCAGAGGGTAGGGACCATCTGCTTGGTTTCCCAGTATTTATACAGTTTCTAGTACATAAAWATACTCAGGTATTTGTAAAATAAATGAAATGAAAAATATCCAACCGGCCTATTGCATCCAATTCTTCATTGCATTCAAGTCTTTTAATTTTTATAGTGTCTTATGTGAAGAATGATGGATGGCTATTATCTTTTTTCTTTTGGTGCTGGAGATTTAAACCCAGGGCTACTTTACCAATGAGTCACATCCCCAGTCCTTTTTATTTTAAGACAGGATTTGCTAAGTTGCTTAGGGCCTCAGTAGGTTGGCTTTGAACTTAAGATCCTCCTGCCTTAACCTCCTAAGCCACTGGGTTTACAGGTGTGGGATGCCCAGGGTCTATTATTTTTTGAAGGCCAACTGAGGAATCTGACTTTTTAGTAATCTCCTGAACGTCTCACAGGGGAAATAAATGGAAAAGTCAGTATTCAGACCTGATTACTTACTAATTAGACAAATAAAAAAATTTATTTTCAAAACAAAACAAAAATAAACAAACCTGATTATTTTTTATACAGGTTCTATCTTTGTGAAGGATTTTGTATTTTAAATGTATATGACAGTGTGATAGATCAAATCTAGTGTGTTTGGTATGAGTCTATGATAGTGATTGTGCTGAGTTTATCTGATTTTGATTTTTAATTCTCTCTAGGAAATTCGTAAAGTTGTACAGAGTTTAGAACAAACAGCTCGAGAGATTTTAACTCTTCTGCAAGGGGTCCATCAGGGTGCTGGGTTTCAGGACAGTAAGTTTGTTTTGATTTTGAATATCTGTATCAAAATTATTATTAAAATTTTTAAATTCTAATTAGTTATACATGACAGTAGATTGCCTTTTGACACATCATACATAAATGGAGTATAACTTGTCATTCTTCTGGTTGTAAATGATATATGTATCAAAACTTTTGATTTCTTATTTAGTTAATTTCCATGAAGAATGCATACTTGGTCTGTCTCATTTTATTGTGAAAAATGTCCTTTATGCGTTCTGGTGAATAGAAATTGGAGCAGGTATTTCGATTAGACTGTAGGTTTATAATATTTTTTTGGTACCAGAGATTGAACTCAGAGGCACTTGACCACTGAACCACATCCCCAGCCCTATTTTGTATTTTATTTAGAGATGTGGTTTCACTGAGTTGCTTAGTGCCTCAATTTTGCTGAGGCTGGCTTTGAACTCACGATACTCCTATCTCAGCCTCTGGAGGTTCAGGGATTGCAAGCATTGCAACCCTGCCTGGCCCAATGTGTTTCCTAATATATTCCCTTCACACAAGTTTTTGCTTATTTTTTAATTTGGTAGGGGAACTAGTTATGAGTTTTAGAGCCAGATGGAAAAGCAGAGATCTGTTTGTGAAAATTTTAAAGAAGTTTAACTTTCAGGTAGACTGCATAGATTATTAAGCAAGAACTGTATTTGAAATTTGGTAAGTTTTTCACATTTGATTATCTTTTGTGATTAGTTCCAAAGAGGTGTTTGAAAGCTCGAGAACATTTTGGTACAGTAAAAACACATCTAACGTCTCTGAAGACCAAGTTCCCTGCTGAACAGTATTACAGGTTTGTTAAAAAAAAAAAAAATCATTGTTTTATAATGTTAGGTAAAAATTGCAGGCCAAAAATTATAGGTACTGAATGATTGCTTATGACCACTTAAAAATCTCTGTATATAGAGGAAACAACAAAAAGAATCATACTGATAGTAGTGGCAACTAGATTGACTTTACTTTCTTCATTTTTGAAAAATTTCTTAAGAAATATGTCTAATTTTTCAGTGGAAAAGTAATTAGGAAAATATCTATTGTATGAAGGTCAAATTGAGAATATATTTTTGCTATATTCATGTTTCTTACAATCAGGTGAACTGTATTTATGCTATAAGATCAGGTTGAATTAGATATATGGAGTTAAATTTTATCTCAAAACTTGAATTTTGCTCCCAAGGAACTTTTTTTTCTTTTGGGACTGGAATTGAACTTAGGTATGCTCCTCTACCATTGAGCTATACTCATGCCCACAGTCTTTTTTTCTTTTTTTAATTTTAATACAGAGTCTTGCTGAGTTGGTTAGGGCTCCTCTAAGTTGCTGAAGCTGACTTTGAACTTATGATCCTCTTGCTTTAGCATCTTGAGTTGTGGGACTACAGGCATGCACCACTGTGCTTGGCCCAGAGGGCATATTTAGTTAATATTTTATGCTATATCTTATTGAATCTACAACACCTTTATTCTTATAACTACTGTTATTTTATATACCTATAGGGAAGAAAAAGATTGCTAGTCATGATTGTGAAATGTAGGTCATAAAATATATATCTAGATATTGTAGATGTTAAACTTGGGAAAAATTGCATCTGAGTGTTGATGAGATAAATAAGAGTCAAAAATTTCTTTTTTTTACTAAAAAAGTTATTCTTTTGAAACATATAATTAATAAACGGTTAGGATGTATATGAGGGGTAAATAATGTAACTGCACAAAAAAATTCTTTATGGCAGGGCTTGGCAAACCATTAGTGGCCTACTGCCTCAAAGATAAGGATGGCTTTTATGTTTTAAAGGATTGTTAAAAGAAAAACTCAAGAGTGTGTGACAGAAAGTGAAAGTGGCTCACAAGGTGTAAAATGTTCACTACCTGGCCCTTTACAGAAAAAGTTTGCTGACCCTTGCTGTAAGGTAATGACTGAAACTCACGGAGGTAGGACAGTAGAACTGGCAGGGTCCTTAGAAACCAATTACTCTTGAAGTCACACATAGGTTGCCTTTCGGCTGGGTTTGCCCTCAGAAAATTTTGTTTGACCTGCATTGTGTTGAGAAACTTTTTTTTTTTTTTTGCTTTTGGAGAACATTTTTAATTATAAATTCAGTTTTAAAAAGAGAAACATTTTTTGAATTTGTTGCAACATTTGAAAATCAGCAGGCTTGGAATTCATATTCGGAGGAATAAGTAAAATTGCTATTTCTCTGTCAGGCTTTAGCTTAGTATCTGAGGTTTTTTTTTCTGGGTGGGAAGGGGGGTTTCTATGTTTCCCAGTTTGGTTTTGATTATCCTGAGCTCAAATGATTTTTCTGCTTCTGTTTCCTCAGTGTTGGGATTACAAGTGTGCCATTGTGCCCAGCAGTATCCTGAGTTTTTAAGTTCTCTATTTAGTGATTGGAAATGATAATTTTGTGAATTAGGATTTTCTTGATGCCCTATATTCAAAGTGTAGGAATAAATTAGATGGTGGCTGATATACAATTGCAGTTTTCATCAGTCTTCAGTTGCAATTTTTAATACTTTATATTCTGTGGTGCTGGGGATCAAACCCAGGTCTTTTGCACATGCTAGGCAGCACTTTACCACTTAGCTACTTTCAATTTTTTTTCTCAGAGAAGTATAACTTTTTTTTTTCTTGGTGCTAGGGATTGAACCTAGGGGCACTTAACCACTGTGCCACATCCCCAGCCCTTTTTATTTTTAATTTTGAGACAGGATCTCGATAAGTTGCTGAGGCTGCCTTTGAACTTGTGATCCTCCTGCCTCAGCCTCCCGAGCTGCTGGGATTACAGGTGTGTGCCACTGCACGAGCAAAGCAGTATCACTTTTTAAGCACCCTTACCCTTGTCATGGATAATTTTTATTGTAAATTTTGTATTTATCAAATTGGATCATGCTTCTCATTGATTAAACTTATAATACAAGTAAATGCTTTAAGTTTGAATTTAAAAAAGTTTTACTAAATTATTTAATATATCTGAATGTCCTGTTGCTCTTAGGTTTTATACATTGGGTCTCACATAAGATTGTATTTRAAAATTTCTGAACATTTAGACATGCCTGCACTACACTGTCTTTCTGAAGATCCCTCACAACTTGAATGTGCTTACTTTTACACAGATTTCATGAGCACTGGAGGTTCGTGTTGCAGCGCTTGGTCTTCTTGGCAGCATTTGTTGTGTATTTGGAAACAGAAACACTAGTGACTCGGGAAGCAGTTACAGAAATTCTTGGCAGTAAGTGTCTTCATTAGGGGGAATTTACAGAGTCAGGCATGGTAGCTTAGTTTTTGGTGGGAGGAGCTGTTGCTTGTATTTTCTATTTATTAAAACAAAGAATTAAATAGGAAGCTCCTTTCTTGGAAACACAAAAACTGAAAATGCTGTGTGGCTTACTCACTTATATCTGAGTAATCCTTTTTGTTTTTAAAATTTAATTTAGAAATATTTTAAGCCTATAGAACAATTTAAAGAGGAGTAAAACGAACATGTGTTTACAGTCCACTTAGATTTACCACTTTTTAAGCATTTTGCTGCATCTGCTTGGTTTTCCCACTGTGTGTGTGTCTTGAATCTTTTGGAAGTCGATTGTAAATATCATGACTTCTCCATAAAGGCTTCATTTTTCATTTTTTAACAAGAAGGATATTCTTTGACATAACTGGATACTATTCTTTTTTTTTTTTTTTTTTTTTTTAGTATTTTTTAGTTGTCAGTGGACTTTTATTTTGTTTATATGAGGTGCTGAGAATTGAACCCAGTGCCTCACAAATGCTAGGCAAGAGCTCTACTACTAAGCTACAAATCCAGCCCCTGGATACTACTCTTGATGGTATTATTTTTTCAGAGAAGACTGGAAGGAAAAATTGAACTTTGTTTAAGAGCTTGAAAAATCCACAGTGAGGTCTAGTTACTACAGATGTAAACACCTGAAAAACATAAATTATTTGTCCTTTCTTCATTTACTTTGAAATGAATTTTTATATGTATCATACGTTTACATATATGTTTGTTTTTATTTTTAGGTTTAAGTTGCATTCATATAATAACTTTGTTTTTATTTTGATGTTTTTTAGTTGAGCCAGATCGGGAAAAAGGATTTCACCTGGATGTAGAAGATTATCTCTCAGGAGTTTTAATTCTTGCTAGCGAACTGGTAAGAAGCTCAGTAATTTGCAGATTGCCTTTTTGATCTTTCTTGCTTTCCTCTCAGTTTTTAAAGTGGAAACAAAACTTAGGAAGTCTTCATTTTTTAAGCCATCTTATCGGTCATCAGGTAGTCATTGTTTGTACTGTATGTGTTACAGATAATGAGGTTTTCTTATTTTTTTGTGGTTTTTCTGGGGGTGGAACCCAGAGCCTTGTGCATGCTAGTCAGTTGCTATACCACTGAACCATGCATCTACCCCTGCATTTTTACTAATATGAAGTTTCAAAAGATGCTAATCCCTATTCATTTAGAGTAGTGGCAAGTCATGTATTCCTAGTAACTGTGTTTTAATCAACTTTTGTGTTGCTGTGGCCATTGTATCTGACAAGAACAATATAGAAGAGGAAAAGTCTATCTTTGCTCATGGTTTCAGAGGTTCAGTCTGTGGTCAGCCAGCTCTATAGCTCTGGTCCCGAGGTGAGGCAGAACATCATGGCAGGTAGGTGTTGGGGGAGGAAGTGGTTCAGGACATGGCATCTGGGTAACAGAGATATCCACTTGCCAGGGATAAAATATAAACCTCAAGTGTCTACCTCCGTCACCCACTTCTCCAGCTACACCCTACTTGTCTATAGTTACCATCTGGTTAATCCATATTAGTGGATTAATCCACTGATTAGGTTATACCTCTCAGTCTAATCATTTCACCTTTGAATGTTCTTGCAACATCTCACATATGAGCTTTGGGGGACACCACATATCCAAACCATAACTCTGTATTAATTTATATAATCATTTTAGCAATTTACCTGTATAATTGTAAGAGGTATTCTTATACATGATCCCCCAATCTCTCTTGGGAAATTATCCTGTAAGAAAAGTCTATAAAAGGAAAAAAGCTGTTAATATCAGAGTTGAATACTGTGACAGAGATAGTGCAGCTTGTAGAGTTGAAAATATTTACCGTCTATCTCATTAAGAAAATTTGCCTGTCTTTGCTCCAAATGATAGGAGCCCAGGGCTGGTAATATTTTTCTTTGATCTTTGACTCTAGATTACTTTGGGGGGTTACCAGGAGGACTGAGCCCAGGGGCACCTAACCACTGAGCCACATCCCCAGCCCTTCTTAGATTTTTATTTTGAGGTAAGGTCTTGCTAAGTTACTGAGGTTGGCTTTGAACTTGCAATCCTCCTGCCTCAGCCTCCCAAGTCGCTGGGATTATAGGTGTGCACCACCATGCTCAGCTTGATCCTGGATTCTTGTAGTTTCTAAGCTTCTTTCTTATATTCCAGAACTGTTGCTGTAATTCTGGTAATTCACATCTTCATCCCCGATAGTGGTAGGAGGAAATAGAAAAAGACATATCCCTCACTTTAAGGATATTGGTTTGAAGTTGTCCACATAGTTTCTGTGTAATATTCTAGTGCTGTGGGACTGGGAAGGGTAGTTCAGTGGTAGAGTGCTTGCCTAGTATGTGTAAGCCTGGGGTTCAATTCCTAGTGCTGCAAACAAAACAAAAAAAACATTATAGTGCCTTGTTATTAGGGAAGACAGAAATGGGGTATATGTGTGTGAGGTGAAAATTTGAGGAATTTCTCACTGAGGAAGATGGGGAGAAGGGATATTGGGGCAAACTAGCATGCTGTAGCACTTGACAGGCTTGTTGGAGACACAATACTTGAGTTCTGATACCTTGTCAATATCGTGATTAGTGTGAGTTGCTTTAAGTCTATATGTGTTGGGAATACACTAAATGGGTACTCTAGGAAAACTGGGGAGGATTTTATGGAGAAGGAAAATCTTGAGTTGGGTCTTGAAATTAGTCTTATCTGTTCTTCAAGACCATGTTTCAATGACTGGATTTTAACTTCTTGTCCTATCTCTGTCTTACTGATTTTAGGTGACTGGAGTTGCAGCTCTGTAGTTGCACTCTTAAGACTGGTCATTTGTCCTGGAAAACATAGGCAGAGCTGCTGAGAGTATTCTACCATTTCTTTCTGCTATATGTTAGCTCATGAGTTATAAAGATGACACTTGCTTAACTTTACTGCACAATTGCACAATAGCCAGTTTAAGACATTAGTGAAATTATAGAAGATGTTGATTGTATTAAACCCGTATTTAGCAGAAATGGTCTCATTTCTCGCAGGTTTTTTTTTTTTTTTTCTTCCCCCCTCAGAGAAGCTTCTGTTTTATCTGTGCTTAACCTGTACCTTAAGCAGAGAACATCAGCATAGCTTTCTAGGCCTGAGGGTCCTCTAATTGTGAGCCACATGAAGTTGTACCAAGGAAGAACTACATTGTTACGTGCCCGTTTCTCTTTCCTTGTACAGTCTAGGCTGTCTGTCAACAGTGTGACTGCTGGAGACTACTCCCGGCCCCTGCACATCTCCACCTTTATCAATGAATTGGATTCTGGTTTCCGTCTTCTCAACCTGAAAAACGACTCCCTGAGGAAGCGCTACGATGGCTTGAAGTATGATGTGAAGAAAGTAGAGGAGGTGGTCTATGATCTCTCCATCCGGGGCTTCAATAAGGAGACAGCAGCGGCTTGTGTTGAAAAATAGGTGGCTCTCCCTGCTTCTGGCCTAGCTGACTTCAGCAGTTGCCAGGGATGGCTGAGCACATAGTGCCTCTTACCGTAGTTAGGATACCCAGTTGCTAAACACTGCGCTTTATTTTCTTAACCAGTTGTGTGGTGTGAGTATCAGAATTGAAACACTTTTTTGGGGATTAAAAAAAATAGCCTTTACATGGACAGATTTTTCTTTGTTGTTTCAGTAAATTTGCTCTGTAATTCGTTATATTTCAGTTCTGTCAAAAAGTGTAAATGTCAGTCTCTTGGTAAAGTCCTTTTCTTCCTTACCCTGACTGTGGATGTACTGATTGAGAAGTTCATTGTCTCGTTTGTGATTCTTCCAGAAGTGACTCGATATTTTCTATATCTAAGTTAGCCATCCATTTCCAGGTGTAGCCTGGATATAGTATAAAAATAGATAATTAAAAAGGATGGTTGGCAAGCAAGAACTTATTTTCTCTTTCTTATTTTAAGCCTGTGAGTAAATGAGATGTTAAATTTTTTGCCAAGGGAATTAAAGCCCTGGGTTCTCTTTCACTGCCATCAGAATATAAAAGATTAAACAGCAAAGTCAAACTCAACAGATTATTTTGGAAGTTTTTGTATTAAGAGATTTAGTAACATTTCATCATTTGGTTCTATCACTAGGGAAGTAGGCCTTCGTGTTTTAAAATACTTCTGCTTTCTGATGTTGCCTTAACATTCTGCTGTTGCAGCAATTAAAAATAGTTGTCACACACATCAACTTCATGTGATACATTCCTAAACTATGAAACCTTCTTCCTAGCAGCCAGGTAGGTCATTTGATCTGGAAGTGTGAAGCCACGTGCAAGAATTAGCAATACCCTGGCGAGTGTGTCTTAGAGAAAAATGTTTTGTGTGGTCTGGAAGAAAGATGAAGCCTCAGCTTAAAAGGAAATATACATATATGTTTTTTCAAGTAAGAAATTTTAAGTTGGTGATGGCTATCCCAATAGATTTTAAATTTACAGTTTGGGGCAAGTCGTAAATTTTGTGGATGCCCCAGTTTTCTCCCCATTTTCAGATGGTATTGAGAATGCTTACCAGTCAACTCTTAATATTGAATTGAAATTATTAAAATAGTGGCTTAAAAAAGGGGTGTAGCTCAGTGGTAGAGCACTCACCTAGCATGTGTGAGACCCTGGGTTTAGTTCCTAGCACAGCAAAAAAAAAAAGACCCAACATCAAAAAAGGTGACTTAATCCACAGCTGTTTGGCACCCTCTGAAAGGAAGTTGCTAATGTTTCCAGAATAATGTGAAGTATTTAGAAGTATTATCTTTTCTTGCCTAATCACCAATTTAGGCTTCCTGTTTGTACTTTGGAGATATCTGGTGTTTATCAGGCTGAATTAAAGGCTGACTCCAATCATGAGGAAGGATGTGGAAACTAGGTGTGAGTTACTGTGCATTGTTGGATTTTAGAACAGTTTTCTTGACAGTTCTTTCTGCAGAGAGTTTGTAGAAAGAAAAGGATGTTAGATTCTTAAAAGTGCCTATGAAGGTCACTTAGAATGTGTAGTAATATTACTGCCTGGATAAAAGTCTTTTCAGCTACATGACCAGATATAGAGTTTGATAATAATTTTTTTTGCCTGTAAGTATTGATTCTACTGGAGAATATTTTAAAGGTTTTTTCTAGAAGTTGTGGATCTCTCTCTCTCTCTCTCTCTCTCTCTCTCTCTCTCTCTCTCTCTCTCTCTTTTTGAGATAGTGTCTTCATGTTTCCCAGGCTGGTTTTGAACTCCTGGCCTCAAGTGATCATTCTGTCTCAGTCTCTCAAGTGCCTGGGACTACAGGCATGCACCACTTTATCTGGCTCTTGAATATCAGTTTTGATAAATACAGTTTAATTGGAGAAGTATATTCTGGTTTTTTAATTCCATTTGAGAGTTGAGAAGAGTCATGTTTATAATTATTCAGTCGTGTTTCTTGCTGGCTTGTAAAGCAATAAAAAACTTTTTGGTCTTTTTTTGTAACTTAGTGTGTTACTTTGAGAACTTTTCTGAAGGGGAAAGAAATTCTGCATATTTTTTTGAGGCTGAAGAAGACAGGAATGATGAGTTGATGCTGCTGTATAAGGGTTTTGCTAACCTAAAGACCCCAGCCACTCCCAGTGCTTTACTGTAAAGTTCAGGTAACATTTTTGTGATCTACTCTGGTAGGGTATTTACAAGTATTTGAGCTGAAGATGTTGAAAAACCTTGGCTGTGGTTTTAGTACACCAGATTTATTTTTTTTTTCTTTTAACAGTACTAGAGATTAAACCCAGGGCCTTGTGCATGATAAATGTGTTGTGTCACTGAGCTATATCCCTATCTCCCAGAATCACTTTTTCAATTTTAGAAAATCATATAGGTTAGAGAAAGTAGAGTTGAATTAGGGGGTGTTTTAATAGCTTTATTTATATGACAAAAAGAACCAGTTGTAAATATTTGGTGAGATTTGTCCTATCTTAAACTTAAATCATAATATAATTATTGTTTAAGGGAATTTAATAAAGAAGGAAAGCTTTGACAGTGTTTTGAGATCTTTCCTTATACAGGTGGCTGAAGACACCAGACAATATGCAGGTTGCTGTTGGCATACTTTCATAATTGTGTACTCAGAAGTTAACTTTCTTATTTCTTGATCAGGACTAAATTCTTTGTCCTCCTTTTCAAAGAGAGTATCATCGGCATTCCTGCACTGAAGTAAAACTGTTTCTAAGCCTGAGATAATTTTCTTAGCATTTACTGTAATAAGCACTAAATAAGAAAAAATAGACAATCTCCCCTCCCTAGACAATAGCAAACAAGTCAGGTAAAATTGCCAGGGCTGGTTGGTTGAATGAGGATGGGCAAGGGAGAGGGTGGGGACTAGCATCCCTGCTAGGTCCCTTGTTTGGGTGACTGAAGTGAATTTAGGTGTCATTAACTTAGGTGGGAGTGTAGGTCAGCAAGGGGGCTGAGCATCTGAAGCGTTTGCTTTTAGGTGTGCCTAATTTATGGTGCTGTGTAGCAAATAGGCTTGTAGATCCAAAGTAGGTGTACTCTCCCTGGAGAGCACGTGAAATGAGATGAATTGTGAACTGGGGACAAAACTCTGGTTTTACAGCTTAGGCAGAGAAAGTAGAGAAAAGAGGAGAGTGACTTTGTCACAGAAACTAGGAGAATAAAGGGTCTTGGAATTTTTGGGGTGAGAGATTTGAAATACATAATTTTACAGCCCTAGAGCTCCATGACTACCTATCAGATCAGGCTAGGCTGTGCCTTGGTAACACCCCCTAAGACTCGGGTGGGGAACATGGTTTATTTTCTCCCTCCTGTTCCTATGCATTGCTGGCCAGTTGCTCCACATTGACCTGGTGGAGGCTGACACAGAGTGCCCAATTGGAACGCTGCTAGTTGTGGTGGGAGAGGGAGAGCTGTGGAGGCTCTGGTGTAAGCATATGCTCTGGTTGGGAAGTGACATCACTTTCATAATTCATTGCTTAAAACTAGGCACATGGCCCTGCTGAACCACAAGAGGGCCAGAAAGTGAAATGATACCTTGTAGGATGAGGGTCAAAAAATGGAGAGTCAGATTGACCGAATGTTGAAGGTGAGGAGAATGTTGAGCTCTATTTGTGAATTATAATAATAACAGTCCTGATTACAAACATTAGTGAGTTTTGGAGGGAAAAAAGATGTCCTTGGGCTACTCTTGCCTTGTGGATAAGGATAATATGTGGATCTGTGTGGATCCTCTCTGTTACAAAGTTTCTTGCTTGAGAGATTTCTCTGGTGTGTGTGCATTTGTGTTGGGTTTGTGTATGTGTGTTTTAAGCCAACATTCAGGGAACTCCACATGTTCCATAGCTTAGAGAAGAGAGGGTAACTTGCTATGAAGTGGAACAGCTGTGATTCAAACCCATTTATTTATTTAGTGGTGCTGGGGATTGAACCCAGGGCCTTGTGCATGTGAGGCAAGCACTCTACCAACTGAGCTATAACCTCAGTCCCAAACCCATTTATTTATTTGAAGAGATGGGGGATGGGGCTTTTTTTGTTACCCAAGCTGGCCCCAAACTACTGGGCTCAAGCTGTCCTCYTGCCTCAGCCTCTGCAGCAGCTAGAACTGTAGGCAGCCTGGCTTAGACCCAGTTATACACATTCACATAAATCATTCTTCCTTGACACATTTGTATGACATCACTCTGTAGCCTGACAAGGCAAAAATCAAACCTAAATGTAGCTGTAAGCACATAGTATACATATGACTTTGGGCTAGGTGCAGTTTGTCATGAAAATTAGCCTGAAAACAAGGGGGATTCTTGGTTCTCGTCCTCAACACATTGAGGTCCTGCTAGGGAGGGAATGCTGGGAACAGATATAAACAGATAAGACTGCTACTATGATTTATTTTTAACAACTTTATTGAACTAAATTTTACATATAAAATTGACCCTTACCAAGTGTATAATTCAGTGATTTAATATACCAAGTGTAGGAACCATCCCAAGTCCTTGACAACCATGGCTACATTTCTTTTCTATAAATTTGCCTTTTGGACATTTCATATAAATGGAATCATAGTATATGATCTCATGTCTTGGAGGTGGGGGCGTACCAGGGATGGAACTCCGAGCCACATCCCCAGCCTTATTTTGTAATTTACTTAGAGACAGGATCTCACTGAGTTGCCTAGCACCTTGCTGTTGTGGAAGCTGGCTTTGAACTCACCATCCTCCTGCCTCAGCCTCCTCCTGAGCCACTGGGATTATAGGCATGTGGCACCACGCCCAGCAGATCTCATATCTTTTCACTTAGCATGATGTTTTTAAGGTTCATCCATGTCAGAATATGTTAGTAACTTGTCCCTTTTTATTGCTGAATAGTATTCTGTTATATGGATAGTCTACCCCATAGGGTTGGGGATCAAATTCAGGGTTTCTTATATGCCGTGTAAATTCTACTGAGCTACACCCCCGGCTTGGATATTCCACATTTTATCTATATGTTCATCTGATGAGGAAGATAAGATTCCACTTTTTGGTTGTTATAAATGATGCTGGTCTCAACACTAGTGTACCAGTCTTTGGGAATGTTTGTTTTCATTTCTTTTGGGTGGATACCTATGATTCTATGGTTAAAAAGGGTAATTTAATGTTTAGTTTTTCAAGAAGCTGCCATCTTGTTTCTGCAAGTAGCTGTACCATTTTGTATTCCCCTGGGCAGTATGTGAGGATTCCCTTCTTAATTGAAATTCAAGACAATAATGGTAAGATGTCATAACAATAGTACTTAATTACTAAATAACTGAACACTGCTATAGGTATTTAGGAGGTATAGCATGAAAGAAGCTTAGATAAGCATGGAAGTAGGAGAAGGTCATTGTGGGTGGGCAGAATAATTGAAACCAGAGCAGAGACAACCTATTTATTGAGGATGGGTATGTCACTCATTTGAATAGAAGGGAAAATCTGGCAAGGCCAGATTGTTAGATTTAGAAAAGCCTGAATTGAGAGGTTAGAGAGTTTGCATTTTAAATGATGGGAATTGGAGGACAGTAGGTTTTTTAGAAATGCAAAGGGAGCAGCTT